AACGCTGGAAGAAGCGGCGCGGTGGTCAGACCATGACATGGCGTAGAGGTATGATGAAGCTGGGTTCAGCTTTGGCTTCGGTTGGCGCAGCCCGCCTTCCAGGTTGGGGCCCAAGTGATGAGGATTGTCGTTGGTTAGAGACGCTGAGAGATATGACCCAGAATAAAAGTCAGTGGCCCGAATGCTGTACGGTCCGTTGAAATCCCGTGCCCCGTAAAAGCAACAAACAACACAAAAATATCAAAAAGTGTACGGTGAAACACAAAAATATTGTTATTCCATTTATTCGTAATCTTCCATTCTAACAGTTACGTCTTTTCCCCTTTACTCTGTATCCCAACCCCGTCCCGTTATTGTTATTGCTAATATTATCTTGGCGTTGGCACCACGCTTGTTCTCAAGCCTGCTATATATATATATATATATATTATCACACTCAGATTTGTAACAAAAGCGGCATGTGCGGCGAGATGGGCCAAATCTTGACTCGACACGAGCTCACCTTGCAATGTTATGTGTTGTGCAAAGCTCTCTGAACGTAAAATTTTATTCCTGATTTCAGGTCGGTAAGTTTCCCTACGAAGAAGTCAACTGAAACAGTACTCAACGGCGGTGACATCCAAAGAACAACGTTTGAATAATTGGTTTTATCAGCTCGGTTAAACGGGGATCCATTGAAGACAATTTGTTCCCTTTTTTGGTTTGCGAAAAGTTGTCACACTGGTGTTTGGATTCGCAAGTGTGGACGTAATGATTGCCATTGTGTAAAACAATTCTTGCCTGACAAAAAGTTAAAATGCGGAAAAAGTCAACAAGAAACCCGACTAGCAGAGGCGATGCGCCCTTTCTTACATCCAGTCGCGGCTATGGCTCCACACAATATATTGATCATTCATCGGATGTGGCCTCGAGCATAGCAAACCTGTTTGGCAATAGTGCGTTCAGTGATGTTACATTGGTTGTGCAAGGTGTACAGTTTGCGGCACATAAAGCCGTCTTGGCTGCTCGTTCTGAATACTTTCGAGCACTGCTCTATGGCGGACTTGCTGAGACTTCATGTTCGGTGATCCATTTGAACGATATCAGTTCTACCGCATTCAGGCATGTATTACAATACATATATATGGGACGGATTAATGTGAAAAAACTGCGGGTATGTTTCCTACCACAAAGATCTTTTGGTTACCCAAATTTCATATAGTTAGTTTAATTTGTTTGTGTCGAAAAAATCGTGAATTTCGTGAAGATCCAGGTAAGTTGCAAGCTTTTATGGATAATTTGAGTACTAGTGTAGCCACGTTCGGTATGCGTTTTGCACCTTCGAAGTGTAAAATGTTGATACAAGATGGGGTTAGGCCAGCACCCAGTCTCACTAAAACTGAGGAAGTAATAGAGCAAGTGGATAATTTTATTATTTGGACAACTATTTCTCATCGATGGACTCATCACGGATGAAGTGTCGGCGCGCATACAGAAACCTCGGTTGGCATATGCCAACTTCAGACATCTGTGGCGCCGTCGCGACACCCAGCTGTCTGTGAAGGATCGAATATATGCTTCAGCAGTTCTGCCAGTGCTGCTATACGGTGCAGAGACTTGGTCATTACGGGAACAGGATAAAAATAGATTGTCGGTGTTCGAACACTGCTGTCTACGCAGCATTGCGCGAATCGGGTGGGACAGCCAGACGAGCAATGCCGAGGTCAGGCGTAGAGTTTTCGGTAATCGCGGTCGTCCACTTCAGTTGATTAGATTACGTTGATTGGGGCATGTGTTACGCACGTCCCCAAATAAGTTTCCACGGCGAGCGATATTTGCCGACGCAGGCAGTGGTTGGAAAAAAAGCCAAGGGTGATCAAACGAAGACTTGGCATGAGGGTATGAAAATCTCAACCAGGAGACTGGGTCACACAGACCCTATTAGGCTCCCTGGCTAGGGACTCCGAGATCGTGGTCACCGATGGTTAGAGACACTGAGTGGTATGAGTGTCGTAAACAGTAGCGCTCATGCATCTACTCATTATTATTGCACCGGTTTCGGTTGCTGTCTTTTGACTGCCCATTTAGATGAACAGTTGGAGAAGGACAGGAGAGCTAAAAATAGAATCGAATGAAAAATGAAGAATTTCATTGGACTAATCTTGCAAATAAATAGAGAAGATGCACGAACGCCGCTGTTTACGACACTCAGTGTCTCTAACCATCGGTGACCACGATCTCGGAGTCCCTAGCCAGGGAGCC